GTGTGTGTGTGTGTTTTCTCTCTCTCTATCTCTCTCTCTCTCTCCTCCCCTTTTCTCTTTCTCATTTTTCCTGAATTTTAAATCTCTGTTTTTTTTAATTCGTCAATTGTGTTCCGACTTCGGAGTCGGTTTGAGGATATTCCCCATTACCCTTTGATTTTTTTATTTTTATTTTTGGAAGTCGATCTGAGTTTATGCGAGCGGTCAGTGTGAGGTCAACCACTACATTTCTTACTTATGCGGGCTTAGCCCGCGCCGCCCGCACCACGGACGCTTGGCTAGTTATTATTATTAGTTAGTGTGTTTGGACATTTGCACATCCAAATGCATCTTTTTTTTTTATTATCATTTTTAGTGAGGTTATACTCACAATAGGACTTTCCTGGATGTATCTGACTGGAATTCAACCTCGAGTTCAGTGTACTTAGTTGTAATTACATCCAGAGCTCATGTGAGTATGTTGAGGGCTAGGTTTCACATTTTCAAAACATCAATGGGTTGTTTATGTACTCCTCCTTTCAGCATCTGCAAGAGTGGAAAAAAAAAAAGAAAAAAAAAGTATAAAAGTGTACTCACACCAGACACTCAAAAGCACAAAGTAGCAAAGTCAGTAGCTGGATCGATTCCTCACATTACAAGGACTTCATCTGACCACTGATTTTCCTATTTTACAATTTTGAGGGCAAAGTGGGGGTATGGCCTCACAAAAGTTTTTGTGTCGCAGCTCAAACCACCAGTAGGGCCCAACTATTGGACGAAGGGAAAAATAGAGTAGAAAGTTACTAGAAACATTTCTAGTCGGATGAATTCGGGCACTCCTGTAGTGGTATGTTCGCTTCCTAAAATTGTGGCTTGTTAACGGGCACAACTTTAGGAAGTACTCGTGGTTCAAGTATTGACTTGTCCATGGAAGGGTCATTTGTCGATATAACTCCATGAGCTCAGACGAGGGTGATTGGGATGATCTTCTTTCCCCTTGTGTACTCTCCTCCGAGGTAGCCTGACGTTCATTTGCTAGGTTGCAGCCTTGTTCTCATTTCGGCGTAATTCTGAGAGCATGACCTAAATCTTTTGTAAGTTGCACAACTCTCTACTATTAAACCCCGCCAGTACCTTACCCTGCTTGGAAAACAAATATCAGTTTTGTTAACCACCGCAACGTTCGGGGTTGGACTGCCATCGATAAATTTCATCAGGGGTGCATGTTGCACTTCGGGCCTCCAAAAGTCACGGTGAGAGGCCCACGGCCAGCAGCCGATATATGAGAAAGGTACTGGCGGTTTGAGATATTGACCCTATCAATGTTGGTGGTAACAGCATAATGATCTAGATAATAAGCTTGCTCGGATTGTAAAAGGGGCCGGGGCGATGCACCCGTTTTCCAGCAGGTGCATCTCCCCACCAATAGACGGAGTAGTCGATGGCTACTACTAACAACAGGCACATAGGCTACAGGGCTCGAGGGAGGTTGGTGGGCGACCAAAGAACAAGGCAAGCAGAAGAGCAGCATTATGACCAGCAAGGGAGAAAGGCAACAATGCACTAAATGGCAAGCGACAACAAGGCACACAGGTTTGAGTGCAGAGGGGAGGTGCGTGGGCAGCTGAACGACAGTGGAGATAGACAAGAAGTGAAGTGTCTGCTCGCAGCAGGGTAGCGCGATAATCAATAGGCAAACAAGGCAGTGAGGCAACAACACACTCCACTGATACACTTTGCACCAAAGCAGAATATCCCCTACTCACTCCAAAAGTGAAACAACTCTGGAGACTGTGGGTTCACACCCCCATTGGAGTCAGGAAGTCACTTCGACGAAGGTCTTTCATCACCCAAGGAACACAGACACGGTCATCGCCTGAACAAAGAAGCCCCCCTAAAAGTGTTGAGGGCACTCCAAACAAACATGCACTGACAATTTGGCACATCTTAAAGGCTTTTACTTATATAGAATCATAGAAGAGAAGTAATGCAAAAGCCAGGAGAATGACAAAATAGACAACCAGACAGAAAATACCTAGAATGAGACGAAGAAAAAATTTTAATTTCTAAATGAATATGATGGTGTGTGTGTATGTGTGCGTATGGTGACATCAGTATCACTATTCTCAAAGGTTAATCGATTTTGTTTTACAATAGAAAATTCGTGAATGCCTTGGGAAAAAGAGTATCAGGCTATCAAAAAAAAAAAAAAAAAAGGAAAGTACATGGGAGTCACAAACATGAGTTATAATTGCACTATGGCCCCAGATACAGTTTCCAACTGCAGTTCGAGCAATGTATACAACCCACCTTTCTGACCAGGTTGGGTGCCCGAAGTGCAATTACGAACTGTATCTTGCCCCACAAGAGTGCAATTATAACTCGTTTTTGTGACTCTACTAAAGTAGAGTACTAGACAGTGGGAAGAGCAAAAAGCAGAGTCAGAGAAGAAACAAGTTGGAAAAAATAATAGAAGACACTCTGCAACTCATAAACAGTAAGAAAAAAAAAAAAAAAAAAACCCTGATGCAGTATAGTATGCTAAGCACATCGCTCTCATTTCCATATAGTTTTGCCTGGCCATTTTGTACTCTTTGTGTATATCTTGTGCATTTGTGTCTATGAGAGTGGATTTTCACTTGTGGATGCAGGAATATGTCCCCCCCGCCGAATCCACCGTTGTGTTTCGAGACAACGAATGGGACCACATTCACTCCTTTTGATGTTCGAGATTTGTCCCCCCCGGGCACCAGAGTTATGAAGGATCTTCACCATAAATTGTTGCCTCCAGGTACACACTACCTCCCAATTCCTACCTCCCCTGCTCGCCTCACATCGCCCCGCAAAGGGCCTAAACGGAAAAAAAAAAACAAAAAAAGCCCCAAACAACTTAACAAAGTCATTTTCGTTCACTTTGGTTTGTCTGGTACGAGAGTCCGGCCCCTGTATGCAAAAGGGAAAATAGGAACGCTATCCGCAGCTATTTCAAAACAACTTAAATTGTTGTCATTAGGTACGCACTCCTTGCTCATTCCTACCTCCCCCATTCGCTTCGCAGCGTCATGCAAAGGTCCCAAACGAAAAAAAAAAAAAAAAAAAAAAAAAAAAAAAAAAAAAAAAAACCTTAACAAAGTCATTTTTATTAACTTTGGTCTAATTGGCACGAGAGTCCAGCCCCAGTATGCAGAAGGGAAAACGGGAACGCTATCCGCATCTATTTCAAAACAACTTGCAACATTTTATTATCAGTTCTCCCTATGGACCCGTAATGGGTTGCTAGTAACTTGCTATTGTGAAAATTGCAAAGTGCAATACTGCAAGACGGTCTGCACCACAACGGTTGCCGTGATAGGAAGTATTAGGAACATTCTCGGTCCTAAACTCAATCAAATACCCCCCGTTGGTTGAAACGACCACTACCCCCAAATCAGAACAAATCGAAGTTTGAACAGTTACATTTTCTCACTGATTGCCCACCCTTCTCCTGAATCGGTCTTTTGACTCTTTTGGCTTTTTCAAGACAGGCATAGTACGAAAGCCAATACAACAACAACTCCATCTCTCAGCCAACATTTTATAGGCCTCGAGCCTGCAACCCGAGTTGGAGCCTAACCCTGTAGGTCTTCACTCACCACACTCACAGGTGAGGGACTAATGTTAAAGTCAAAATTCATATATGAGTTCACTACCAGTCAACAATTTGTTGGATATTCGCTAAAAAAAATAATGAAGTGAAAATGATTCAACGATTTAAAAGGTTTTTTTTTTCCTGATATCGAGTATCCGGACGCATATTGACGCTGAAGATTCTGAAAATTTTGAACTGGTGAAGATGCTGAAAATTATATTCATCCCCTTTCACGCTCACTTTATTTTATTTTCTAACCAGTACTTCCTAAAGTCGTGCCTGTTAAGAAGCCATAATTTTAGGAAACGTATGGGTCACTACAGGAGTGCCCAAATTCATCCAGCTAGAAACGTTTCTACTCTATTTTTTGAGCGGTCGATAACTGGCCCAAGTACTGGTGGTTTAAGACAGAGAGGGAGTTCATAATTTTCAACACCTTCACTGCTGTAAACTTTAAAGTTTTAAAATTTTAATAGTCTAAATGCATATGAAGGTTTTGAAAACTTTGAAGTTTGAAGTGTTGAAAATTATTAAAAAATTCCCTCTCTTTTCCCCTCCCGCATGTTTTCGTTTGTTTAGAGAAGGGGGTCTTCAAAATTTTAGCACGTTTGTACATGCCAAATATTAATGGACCTTTTCTCTATGAGTTGACAGTAAACCAAAGGACCTATTATCATGAAGGGGAAAAAAAGAAAAACATCATTCCCAAAGAACCTATTATCATGAAGGGGAAAAAAAGAAAAACATCATTCTGTTTGTAAGAACCTTTTTTTAATGATTGTTTGCATCAACCGAACCTGTGTAGTTGAGTCGTAAATTCATGTAGTTGTTTGTAAGCGGATCATAAGTTTGAATCCTGATCAAGATTAAATAAGGACTTCAAGTTGTCGGTGGAACAAGAACCAGATTGAAGCTCCCGAGGGGAGCACGGATTGAAAAAGTTATTCGTCAATTTTGAAAAACAAAACAAAAAAAGTTAGGGGTGACCCACTTCTAAGAGAAAAGGATTGTTTCTATCCCACCTTGACAGAGTGAATGTGTATAGTGGGGAATGAGATTCAATATATGAAGGTGAGCAGGGATAATCAATAGGCAGTATGAAGGACAAAATGATAATCAATGGAAAGGATGAAGGTTAAAACAAAAGATGCAGAATGGATGTCAACTCATAGTATCGAATATTCGTATATCATCCTAGCAAAAACAACTACAGTGGAAGGAATCAGTATCAATAAAGAGAGAGAGAAAAGGGAAGGGGGGCGGGCGGAGGAAGAGGATTGTTTACATATAACATAATAAAAAAATATATTTTCGTGGGGATAGCACTATGGCAGTAGCGTCCGACCCACTTACAGTACCAGTCATAAACAGTCACTCTAAAGCATAGCACCAGCAATAATAAAATGAAATCTACATGGGAGCATTGTTGTTAAAGTCCAGCATCTCACTCAACTAACAATACAGACTATTTACTGCATGAAAAACTCACACACAATATCATACCTACAATTTAGCCAGAAAAGGGAACATAAGGCATTTGACCAGTTAGTCTATCAGCGGTAGACAGACAAGGGCAACAAGCTTGTGCTGCACAAGCCACTTTACCCCTTATCACGAGCTGAAACATCAACAACTTCCCTTTCGCGCTCAATAAAAAAAAAAGTATTTTATACACACCCTCACTTCCCTAAGCAACAAATAATTTTTGTTTTCTCTTTCTTTTTCTTTTGTTTACAAATATCCAGGGTTGTACATCATTGGCAAGGGTCCGGCTGTCCAGGGGCCCGGACCCACTAGCGAAGTATTCTACGATGTGTGACGCAATTTGATGTTCTTTTGGAAAAGACAAAGTGATTTTTTATTCGCATGAATGAAACGTTTTCTGATTTAAAATGAATTGAAATGGCACATAAAACAAAGAAGAAGAGCTTTGTGCAATGACTTGCTGTTTTCTGCCGCCGGTGACCCGTCGACGCGAGGCTGTAACATAGGTAGGTTAGATTCCTTATTTTCTTTGGCTGAGGGCTAACCGAGAGACCTGCCTGTAAGGGAAACTCGTGAGGGACATATCTGCAAATTCGGGAAAATATACGCCCGCACTAACTAGAACTTCCCACAGCTACCCTAACTGAATAGCAGGCCCGGGCTACCCCTAGCACGAACAAGCCCTAATGGCCTATGCCAATACACGGTCCTATAGCCTATAGCCGGGTAGGGAGAGGCCGATAAGCTGAAACTGAAACGATACCGGTCGGTCTAGTCAGTCCGGTCTAGGTCTAGTCTAGGGTAGTGTAAGTCTGTAGATAGATGGTAGACATCGGTCTGGGGCGCTTGGCAGTTGGTACCGTGTACGTTGCTGCTGTGCAACGCATGAACTGGAAGTGGTGACAACTTTAACGTTGGAGAAGATGGACATAGCTGAACCTGCGAAGTGTCGGCCATAGCTGGGACCGGCGCTGTACTCTGACAGCACGCGGGGTTGTTCAGAGGTCCGGACTATCTGGAGTCTGCTGAAGGCGAGAGAACTTGGTGCCCTGTTGGACCCTCCTCAGGAATAGGTTTCAGGGTGTTTGGCGCTGCAACCATAGCTGCAACTTTCTTCCTTAGAGAGCATCTTTGTCAGGAAAGGCGGCGCTGCAAACTTCCACCCGGGAAGTCCTCTGACACTTCATCATCCTCAGACACTGTGGCGCTGGTCTTCTTCTTCATCCTTTGAGAGGCGCTTGGCCTCAGAGGCCTGTTTCATGGTGGCGCTTCCCTTTGGAGGCTGTATCTGGGTGGCGCTTGATGTTTCAGGGACTCAGGGGTGGTTCTAGCGGTTGTTCGGGGTTGGGGATGAAAGTGCTGCTCACTTCTGAGCAGCTCACCATGGTTATGAGGTTATTCAGACATTTCGAGACTCTGAGTGTAATAAACAGTGTGTATACTGGGTGTGAACTATCATTGCTTCATTGTTTCCTGGATGTGATCTACTCGGCTTTCCTTTGTGACTGGTTGTCCTTTGTGACTGGTTGTGAGGACCCTGTGGAGCGAATTGCACTTTCAATGTTTTCTGTCATATCGCATGGTCAAGTCTTCCGCTGTATTTATCTCTCACTGCGTGGTGTGATACTCCCATCCTCTCCCCTTCCTTTTGTGTACGTATGGGCATACCTAGAAGTCTATGTGTGCGAGTTTTGGTCTTCTGACAACAGACAACCAGGATCATAACATGTGCACCCGAATTCATGGGTTGGTACGATCTCCTTCACGTAAGTCGTCATAGTGATGTGCCGTGGCAATAAAATGTGTCCACGAACACAGCCACGAGGATGAACAAGTAACGGGTATGGGGATACATTCATCACCATGTATCTCATGATGGCTCTAACAGGTTATCAGAGACGCGGAAGCGTTCCTGTCAGATCCACCACAATATTTGAATTTCACATTTCAAGTTCGATTTCTCAGAGCCAAAAAAAAAAAAAAAAAAAACGAAGTCTGGAAATCAACCCCTCCCCTCGTGAGTCCATAAAATCCAGACTTCCCGCCCACACAAAGCCACGAGCTATCATGTCCAAATTTGTTTTCTTTTTGTTTTTCAGCGCATCTCATTGGACGGGAGGTGGCCATCTTTACAGTCCCCACTCGGAGACTACCAGGCCGTCGAGATCCGATGTTCGACGGCCGTACTGCATCACTCGAGGCCGCACATGATCAAAATCCTGAACGGAGTGGTAGAATACTTCGCTAATGGGTCCACGCCCCAGGGGTGGGAATCCCCAACCTCGGATCTGAACCCCCCACCAAAGAAAAAAAAAAAAAAAAAAAAAAAAGTGGGGGGTGTGCAGCGACGGCGCTTACCCTGTGGGCCGTGGCATTAACAGCCATAAAATTGGCATAAATCCATTTCCCCCCAACCTAGGACCTCCCCTCGGGGATGCACATGCCTCGCCCTCGGCTTGGGGCCAAGCATCCATGGCGCGAGGGTGGGGCAGGGCCTTGACCATGGGTGGGGGCGGGGGCGGGGTTGGGAGTGGGGTTGGGAGCGAGGGCGGAGTCGGGGACAGGAACGGGGGGGCAGGCGGGAACGAGGGCCGGGGCAGGGGGTCAAACACAGGGGTCAAAGACGCATGCAGGCAGGACGAGGCCCGGGGCGGGTGCAGGGATGCAGGCGAGTGCTGGCCGCGGGTCGGAGTACGCCACACAGGAATGGGGGAAGCAGCCAACCGGGCGTTTGCAGGGCCGGGCGTTTTCAATTTGTTTTTGGCTCCCACAGAATCACTGTTTGGAAAACAAAAAGCAGTTCTCCGCATTACTCCTCATGGTGAGTGCATAAAGACCTTTTTTGTTTGGGTAGAAATTTAGAGCCCTAGGCATCCCCGCAACCCCTGGGGTCCGCGGATGTGAAACTCAGCTTGGTCAACTTGCCGACTAAGTGGACTGTCCCCGCGCGGAGGTGTGGGGGTCAAACCGCAATCCCGGCTTGGCCACCGGGGATCCCCACGTGACAACGCTGCAAATAACTACTCCGAAATTTACAGAGACACTCAAGCTAGCTCAACAGGGCGATGCAGAGGCAACAGGAAAGACCAAAGAGAGAAAGGGTGTGATTTCATGCCTCGCCAGATTGGGCTAGGCTCACCTGAAAGTGTGCCCCAACTTCTTCTTCTTCTTCTTCTTCTTCTTCTTCTTCTTCTTCTTCTTCCTTGTGTGTGCGAACTCGCTTCCGTGAAGTGCAGTGTGACACACATACATAGGAAGAAGATGAGGAGGAGGAGGAGAACAGGAGAAGGACAAGGACGAGCAGAAAAGAAAAGAAGGGAGGGGCGCAATTTGATGATCATGTGGGGCAGGGACACATGCTCTTGTGCACTCACACACAAACAGAAGAAGAAGAAGAAGAAGAAGAAGAAGAAGAAGAAGAAGAAGAAGAAGGAGAGGAGGAGGGGGGGGAGAAGAAGAAGAAAGCAAGGATGAGCAGGAGGAGCAGAAGAAGGAGAAGAGGAGGAGGAAGAGGGTGTCTGGGTGGGGAAGAATGAAGAGCCAGTGGGGTGTGGAACTTTGCCGTGTTGGAGGAGATAACGGTCATGGGCAGGGGTGATAGAAACTTCCTGTCCGATACCAGGGCAGATTTGCAAATGGAGTTTTGCGGGCTTGACCGTGGCCCCCTGGCCGGGGCAAGCTGCAAGTAGTCGTGGGTCAGAAGGGTGTTCGCTGAATACCCTATCTTTGAGGGCACCTGCCAAAATAAGGCATCTTTGAGGGGCATCTGACAAAGTTTTCCTTTCACGAAAAAGAAAAGCATCAGAAGAGGTTCTGTCACAGTCCTAGGAAACAACAAACAGCATTCTCTGCCTTAAAAGATGTATCAATGGGACGCTGGGCCCAGTTTCCAGCAGGTGCTGCTCCCCACCAATAGGTGGAGTAGCCCGACAGATAAACCCTCAATTCGGACGGTTCTCTTACCACCGCCGGAATCGAGGACTTATGCAAGGGCTATTTTCTGGAGAAAAAAAAAAAAAAAAACAGAAGAGGTTCTGTCGAGCTCAGACTTTTCTCCTTTTCCTTTTACTTTGTTTTGCAATTTTTTTCCCGAGCCTGATTACTTCCGTGTTCTGCCAAAATTTGTATATACTATATTTGCCATTTCCATTGTTTTGCAGGTCAGCGTCTGAAGACCTCTTGTGTTCAGCTGCAGAGCCACAGACCAGGAGTTCTTCTTGGTGTGGCTACTGATGTAAATATGCTTCGAAGTGTGAACGGCGAGAGCCGGTGGAATCCGCAAGCATACTCGGGAGTCAGAAAGAACTGGGGCCCGGATCCCATGGAGAGTCCTGATTCGGTCCTAGACGTATCGTGCGATTGAAGCCGGCCAGATTCATCCGGGAAATCCTACCTACATTCTTCTCCCAAACACATGACTACATTTCGACCGAACGCAGAGGTTGTATACATTCATGAGGACTATGGGGCGCTATCTTCGGGGCGGGGGAGGGGGGGGGGGGGGGGGGGGGGGGGGCGCGGGGGCAGCACAGGGGCCGAGGATTGAGGTTTGTATACCATCTTCACCCGAATAGAATGTATGTATGGTCCCTGTCGCTGCATACAGATTCTATCTAAACTGAAAGTTGCCATTCATACAGGTATAATGACCGTGCGCGTGCTCTTCGGGGGAAGAAGTTACTGTGGTAATGATGCCCTTAGAAGATCCCAATTGTAAATTTGCTTGGACCAGCAGTACCTCCAAAAAGAGAGAAAAGTTGAAGAAAGCCGGCACTGCCACGGATATGCTTGCTAGTGAGAAGAAGCTGGCGGCCCTAGTGCTAGGAATCGAAGCCGGATTTTTTAGCCCTAAGGTGATGGTGTGCACCGAGCCTCCTGGAAACTACGGGGCGCAAACCAACTCTACTTGCTGAGCAGGACCACCAACTTTTTCCCCCTAACACAACACTCACTCATAATGACTTCACCTAGCCGTTCAATTCATATACATACATTCACGATAACTGGGTGTTGTGTTTGGGAGAGGGTTTCACTTCTGCATACATGCTGTCGGGCTGGCATTGAATTAAACCACCAGTACTTGGCCCAGCTATCGGCCGCGGCGCTACCCCGTTAACGCGGCACGCCTGTCGGGCTTCGGGGTACCGGACCACAATGGCTGGAAGCGCCAGCCAAAAGAAAGTCGAAACGGCGCCCCGGCGGTTCCGCAAAACTTGGCGCGCAGGGGGTCGGCCGGCTCGGCATCGATGGCTGGGCCAAGTACTGGTGGTTTAAAGTTTACAAACAACCGGGATGCGCATGAAACGGTGTTTGTGAAAGGGAGAAGGAAACCCGCTGTAGAGGGCGTAAAGTCCATGTGTTTGGTCCCTGCAGGCAGCGGCAGCGACGTCCTATACTTACGGGGGCTTCTTTGTTCGTGGCCATCAATTTTTGTAATCGATGGTCAGAAATGACGAATCCGACCGGCTAAGTGGGGCCTCACCCCTTCCCATATGCTTAGGATAGTGACCTGAGGACGCAATATGTTTTGTTTCTTTTCGCCCAGAGGGCCAGATCATTTTTATTATTATTATTATTATTCATGTGAACTTCTACACAACGACGTGCATTAGGACTTCAACAACACAACTTCTCAAATTGTTGTGCCACACCCCGTTACAAATGTTGCTGAGTCATACCGCCTCCTCTTTTGTTTTGTCTTTTTTTTTTCCCTTTTCGACAAAACTCCCATCAAGAAGTAGCGTTAAATGTGAGGTTGACCTCTGGGGTCAACGCACGTCATTTTTTTCTGGTTTTCGTTTGATTGGATAATGCCCTGCCAAGGTTGCATCCGACAAGGAAAAAACACGTATCAGTGACGTATGTATGGTAATTCCTCTTCATTTTCGGCAAAATCAGCAAGAAAAGTCGAGTCCAGATTCCGGAGTTATTGTCAATTTGTCAGTTAGAAGTCGATCTCAAAATTGACTCGGGGATGATTGTCGCCGAAGAGTAAATTGGTGGGTGACGACCCTGAAGGGTTGAGATAAAGCCGCCCTCATGCACTTTCTTACAAAGACCAACAGATGGGATCTCTGAATCTCCATGCGGACGAACCAATTCTTGGCAACTTTTAGAATACCGACACTTAGTCTTTTTTTCTTTTCTTTTTTTTTTTGGGGGGGGGTGGGGGGGTCTAGGGGACGCTGGACCCGGTTTCCAGCAAGTGAAGCTCCCCACCAGTAGACTGGAGCCTGCCACGGGGGCTGCTAGAGGTGTCTGCTTTTATCAGATCCTCCAACGGTCCTGAGGTTGGTGTTTTTCCCCAAAAAGAAAAACAAATTTTGAAAAATGGCCATTTTAATAATGATTTCTAGGCTACCAGCCAGGCCGCCCGGGTCAGCCTATTTTCCCGGGGCGGCCAGGCCGAGGTCCTCACAAAGAAACAAAAAACAAAAAAAAACAAAAATATCCCCAAAAAAAATTGTTATGCCTAGGGAGATTTTCCGGGCGACCGGGTCCCCAGGTCATGCCCGGGTCGGTGACCGGGCGACCGGCCGGTCGTGAGGCCTGGTCGGGGTCCCGGGCCCGATTTGCGCGACCAAAAAAAAAAACGAAAAAGACCCCGTTTCGAGCCTGGGACCGCCTGCAGGCCTGCGGACCGCCCAGGCTCACAAAAAAAAAAAAAATCTGGCGGCTCTAGGGGCCGCCCCCCCCCCCCCCATTCGAAAGCCCACTCGGGCCGTCAATCATCAAGATCGACGGCTGGGAAATCGCGCGGGGTTTGAGCGGGACCCTCAGCGAGCGAGGCATCACCGGCCAAGCACATCAAGGGAACCACTACATCACACCCCGCAGCCAATTCCACTGCCGACTCCACAACCCTAACCACCCTAAGTAAGTCGACAACAATTAAGTTGAATTAACATCAAAATCAAATTTCATCAGCAGGAAACTCTAATTACAAAATCTAATTTCATCAGCAGGAAACTCTAATTACAAACTCTAATTTCATCAGCAGGAAACTCTAATNATTTCATCAGCAGGAAACTCTAATTACAAACTCTAATTTCATCAGCAGGAAACTCTAATTACAAAATCTAATTTCATCAGCAGGAAACTCTAATTGCAGCCTAGAATAAGCACTCGCAACCCTTAATTCGGTCACCCTACGTCCACAATCCATGATCTAAAAATCATCAAAATCCTGACAAAATGTAAATTCATCTAAAAAAGTCTCTAAGTACACCAATCATTCCTAACTAGAACCCTAAGGGTCACATCGAAATTCTTTACCAAATTTAAAATTATAATTATATTTAATTTATATATCGTCAAATAGAACTGCCCGGTAAACCGTAGGCATATATATTAGCCCGGCTGGGCAAGTGGTCCCGGCCCACTCTGGTAGCCTAGGGATTTTATTCTATTATAATTCTAGGTTCCAGAGTGGGCTGGGGACCACTTGCCCGGCCAGGCCAAAAAAAATTAAAAAAAATAAAAGTTACTTTTTCATTTTAGTTTTTATTTTCAAATTTGGTAAAGAATTTCGATGTGACCGAGGCAAAAATTGTTCAGTTTATTTTTCTGCATTTTCTGTTTTTTTTTTTTTTTTTTTGCTGGGACCTCTTCCCTGGTCCTTGCACGGCCGGGCCGCCCATGAAACAAGGTGACCCGGGTGGCCCGGCTGGTAGCCTAGCTATAATTACAAATTCACAAATTCACAAATTAATAAAAATTACCAACCAAAAGAAAAAGGTAATCACTACTAATCAGAGACATAAGAGTTATCATAGAGGAAACTTAGGAAAGCGCAAGGCCAGAAAAACAGAAAAACAAAAAGGTGAGAAACATTGCAGCAGTGTAACCAAGAAGACACATCATCATGTCTCATTGAAGATGTATGTACTATATTATAGTATATACTATATATGCATGAGCCTCCTAAGATCGCTATGACTTTCACCCACGCAAGCAGCTTATTGTACACGAGTTCGTCGCACCAAAAAAAAAAAAAAAAAAAAAAAAGGTTCAAAGTTGAATGTGACTGTGAGATGTGCGGTATCCGTCGACTGTAGTTTTGTGCATAGCTAGGGGATCCATACATGTGGGTCTAAGACCTCCTACGAATCCGTGAAAGCACGCGTTTGAACCGGCGACCTCAGCCTCAAGAGCCAAGTCTTTGTGCATAGGCTCATTTGGAATTGGCCTTTTCATTATCATTATCATTAAACCACCAGTACTTGGCCCAGCTATCGACCGCGGATAAAAATAGAGTAGACCGTTTCTAGTTGGATGAATTTGGGCGCTCCTGTACTGGCCTGTACGTTTCCTAAAATCACGTAGCGTTAACAGGCGCGACTTTAGGAGGTACTGGTGGTTTAAAGACAATGCTCGACCGATCACTATTGTTCTCGTGTGGTGGCCGGATAACTCATGTTTCTTCGCGTCGTCATGGGGAATACCGACAACAATCGATCAAAAGGTTGCAAGCGTTGGCTAACAAACAATCCAACGGTCACAATCTTGAGTTGAGTTGTTTCGCATCATCAAACATAACAATCGACATCAAGAGTCGCCTACCATTTTTTTATTATTATTAATAAATTTATTATATTGTTTTTGCCATCTACCTACAAGAAAAACATCTACAACTTCAAAAAAAATGGAATTACAAAAATTGGATAGAGCACAGTTCAGCAAACCGTCGCTCGGTCCTCGGTCCTTTTTTCTGTCGTTTTTTTTTCCTGAAAACAAGGGATCGATCACTTCGATATCGAGTATAGGAGATCGAACAAAATCACAAGGAAAGATGTTCACATTGAAATTGTTGATAAGTTGGGTGTTATCCAGCGAGCTCAATTTCCGTAAAACTCTATACCGCAGTTGCAATTCTGGGTGGGTAGGAGATTGGAGAACGAGGGTGGGCAGGAAGGAAGAGGTGCGATGGGAAAAGGAGGGAAGGAAAGAAGAAGACGGAAGCGAAGGGAAGGAAAGGGGTAGAGATGAAGGAACAGCAAGGGTTTGGATCCATGGACAAAATGAATGGAGGGACAGCAAGAGTGGAAACCAACAAAAAAAGCCGTCACAGAACAAAAATGGAATTAATTTCATTGTTCCGTCCACAAATGCAATCCGCCAGACTAACGCCCACTGCCCATTCGCAGTCCATTCTTCCTCCTCCTCCTCCTCCTCTACCCCGATAATCGGAGCCACACCGTTATGAACTACGTCCCGACTTTTCTAACCTCCCTACCCACCTCTGATCACTGACAGTTACATCCGTCAGCGTTTTCAAAAAGATACATCAACCAATAAAGGAGGCGTGAGCCGTCTGGAACCCGTATAAAAATTACCCACTGCGGGGGGAAGGGAAAAAAAGAAAAAAAAAGATTAAAAAAAATAAATAAAAAGTCGGTATCGAATCCGGCATGATCGTGAGCCGATCAGAAAGAATATCCACTTACTACTATCCAAACCCCAGTTGGTATCGAATCCGGCACGACCGTGAGTCTTCTTCCCGTCTGGGAAACCTATTAAGCTCGATAACCTACAAACAATCAACTGTCCTTCTCTCTCACCAGTCCCGCCGGTCGTCATTTCCGCGACCACTCTTCTGCATCCCACTTCATTGTCCCACGATTGAAAATTTCTCAGATATAAAGTTTCACTTTTGAATTGCCTTTTCCCAAAAAGAATCTTTCATACAGAATGTACAGCAAAATGGAGGGGGCTAAGCGCTTGCCAAACAGACGCAGCAAAATAATCAGGTTTTGTAGGGCAGCGCCCAGTCCCTATTTTTGAATCAAAGGTAGGAAACAAGGAAAAGAAGAGAGAGAGTAGAATGAGAAGGTAACCCGCACTAAGGGACGGCCGAACCGATGAGGAGATAGGTAAGAGCACTACTACCCAGTGCCTGTTCGTTGCCTCCGATGCTCGCATGCACCATGATTGGGCTAAGAACCCTAAACCCTAAACCTCCGTAATGACCGCCGCACCCCTAAACAACAGAATAGAGGCAACTGTAGTCCTCCTACCACTGGCCTACTAGCTCACAGTTGGTACACCCCTGAACTGTTGGGGACGGAAGGGAGGAGGGGGGNTGGAGAAAATCAAACATCAGAATAAACAGCAGGAGCAAGCAATACCTGTTGATGCCGTGCCAGCAAATGGTTACCGTCAACCATCTCTCTCTCTCCTGTCTCTTATACACATCTAGATGTGTATAAGAGACAGATATTGACCGTAGATAGCAAAGATCAACGGCCAGAATCTCTTCATCCGTGCAAGTGGGACCTCGCCCCTGAACTTTGAAACAACAGACCCGAGATCGAATCCCGCTGGAAGCAGAAGAGTAAAATACTAGGGAGGATAGGGTAGGCCTCGTCCCCCCCTACATACCTGTTAGACCCTGCGCCGCAGGGGATTGCCAATGCAGCAGGGCAAGGAAAAAACAGAGGATTGACTAAGTAAGAAACAGTGGAAGCCGAGAAGGATCGACTTAAGTTTCTCTTGCACTGCAAAAGAACTATGAATGGCAGCAGCATGCCACCATCTTGCGTGTGCGCAAACACTGCAAAAGATTAGACCGTACTGTTAGTTGTGCAAAGCTAGGTGCCCATCAAAATGATGATGGGCAGAAAGGGTCAGCACAAGAGTACACTAAGAGTCGACTAGTCGATACTCGTAAACCCAAGCTCCGCTGACAGCAGCGCACACGACATGATTTTCATTTCAAAATGCCGCGGGATCAGTGCGCGCATCATCTTGGTGGAAAGACCCCATGTCGTGGATGGTCCACAACAGCTAAGGGAAGCAGTAGCGCAAGTACACCATGCGGCCGATCCTCAACCCCACCGCCCTCGGGGTGTGAAGGGCACACAGAAGTTGCACAGCCCCCTCGCCATAATATCACAGACGCTTCCCCGAAGGAACCCACACAACAGCCAGATGCCTGCATCTTCGTTGCCCGAGAGGAGAGAATCGACAGACGCCTCATAATACTGTCAACACTTGGAGAGAGAGAGAGAGAGAGAGAGAGAGAGAGAGAGAGAGAGAGAGAGAGAGAGAGAGAGAGAGAGAGAGAGAGAGAGAGAGAAGGACAGCAACCCAAACTCTCACCTTTCTCCCAACAGCAGCTGCTGCTACGCTTCCTCCCTCAGAAGATCGCTGGAGCCATCATGTAACACATGATTTCAGAAAGAACAGCAAAAGACAGAAAATGGAGGGAGGGATAGCAAGCCGCCAAAACTCGTACCATTCCGATCGATCCAACAACAGCAAAAGGTACACTGCAACAGCATGCAGACTCTTACTTCCTTATTGTCAGACCCTGCACTGCATAAGTGCTCGGTGAAGCGACAAAGCGACATAGACAAAACTCAACCCTACCGCAAGGGTACAGGCGCCACAGAACAGCACCTTTGCTCCTCCTTCAAGAAAGGCTGTTTGCACAATGCCCTGACATAAAGGTAGGGACAGAGAGAAGAAGTCACCTGTAACTTCGCGGTAAAGAGGAGGAATCGCACGGCCCGGTGGAATACATATACTTGCCATCTGCCATGTCTGCAGTACCATGACCTGGCAAATACATCATCATCATCATCATCATCATCATCATCATCATCTCATCATCATCATCATCATCATCGTCATCATCACACTGCCAGCTTCCCTGAGTGCGAATATGAGTCACCGAACTGATGCGTCCAAAGAAAAAGATCATTGATGATGAAAGTTGATGAAATGCACTTGCAAGAAAAAGCCCACCACTGCATCGCAGAAAAGATCATTGACAGTTAAATGAGAGCACTTGCAACACAAGCCCACCACAGCTGGCTGATCAGACCACGCCGAAGTAAGACTCGAACCGTGAACTGTGGCAGGCACTCGATCTGAACTGTCGACTCTGTCCGGAACAAGCACTCGAGCAAATGCAGAGAGAAGAAAAAGAAGCTGAAGGTAGATTGTTTCTCGAATGAGCTGCACAATCTTCCAGCTTCAGACACCTCTGCCCCGGTCAGATGACACAGCATACTCGCAGATTCCGCGAGGATGATTAATCAATCAAGGAATTTAAATGTGGCGACGTCCTCACAGCATACTCGCAGTTCCTCCCATCTGCTCACCACTGTAAAATTTCGTGAGTACCAACCACCTACCCATGTCACTAAGCCGAGTAAGTACTTTCACGGAAGGTTCTCTCTTTTCCCCTTTGCAGCAGCGTTGTTGTCATCTAGAAAAATATCCTGCCCACGAAAGGGTCACTCTTTCCCCTTTGCAGCAGCCTTGTCGTCATCGAGAAAAAAAAAAACACCCTGCCCATGCGGAAAAAAAAAACCTGCCCAGCGAGAAAAAAATACCCTGGCCATGGAGGATACTGAGCTTTGGATCCTCCTCGTCCTCAGCAACAAGTGCTGTCATCATCTGCAAATTCTGCGATGTTAACTCGCATACGTTAACCATCCCTGCTTCCCATATTCCATCCCGAGTTAGTGATGCCCGCTTGGACTGCAACACCACAACGACCCCGCTCATGTGAATGTTAACTCGCATACGTTAACTCACATACGTTAATGATGCCCGATTGGACAGCAACACCACAACAACCTTCTGCCCGGAGTGATACACCCTAGGTAAACTGGGTCTGGGTCGCATTTACGCCCCTCTCTAAGCAGAAAGCGCAGAAGGGATATTGGGCCTTTCGACAGCGAGGCCCCAAGCCCCAAGAAGAGAATCCTTCATACGACGCCAGTTTTTGACACCACTGGCGCAGCACCTTGAGAACTCCCAAGTCGTGGTTGGACACGAGGAAGGAAAGTCTGGGCGCAGGCTTCGCCAGCAAAACTGCATAGCTCTCTTTTCCCATACGAGAACTGTGCCCGAATCTCCAAACCCACACACAAGCAAGATAACGGGTCTATCGTCCACATTTGGAAAAGACGGACAGCAACCCCTTCCTCTCACAACAGATACAAGTTCATACAATGGTCATGAGACTCTGATGAGACCATATATTCGACAGGAGAAAGAAGCAGGAAGGACACAAGAAAAGGCAGCAAGACAGGAGGAGGGAGGAGGGAGGAGGGAGGAGAGAGGAGAAAGGAGAAGGTGCCTTCACACTCACCTGAAAAGCATCCATCGTGAACACACGACAGGGATGGTTTCTCGGAGATGCACACTGGAAATGAGCAAGGACAGAAACAAAGAATATATAGGATCATCTCCTGCTCACACTGTAACCGTGGTGCCATAATCACTTGTCAATCTGAACGCAAACCAACAGCAGGAGAAAGGCGCACTTGCACACAAAATTTGCTCCTGCCAATCAGATCTTCTGTTCATCCTCCTGCATGTCCCGTCAAGTCCCATATAACTGAAGAACGCCACCCACACGTCAACCAACTAAGCCAGGTGGGTGTCTAACGCTGCATTCTTTTGACATTAAGCCATACACACACGGCAATATAGACCGTGTGTATAGTCAACAGGTGGGCTTCTCTGCAGTCCATGGCGGGAAGACAAGCCACCACGGCGAAAATGGTGGGGGGGGTATGACAGGCCGCCAAAACTTGGACCTTGCGATCGATCCAACAGCCAAAAAACTTGTACCTTCCGATCAGCTGATGTTTTGCCGCTGTCACCCAGGTGCGCTTCCTGCTCAGCAGGGCCGCTGCCAGATTTCCCTCTCTTCGCTATCTTCTCTAATCAGTTTGACAGTCAAACTGACTGACCAGCCATTCAGCAGAACTGGGGTAACCAGACTGTGAAAATCACCAATGCCCCCGCCATTCACTCTTGCCAAAAAAATCTCATCAGTCTTCCTGGCAAATATGAAGGGGAGCTAACTGGATCCAGAAAGAAAGCCAATGGGCCACTGAATGATTGCTGGGTTCAAATTTCTGCCGGGCGCCACCTAGCCGCCCGCGGCATTCTCGGTCATATCTCAGAAAGAATCTTTAGCACACCAGCTCCCCTGCCCCTTAGAAATCTCGGAAAGAATATCTGAACACGCCCAACTGCCGCAATCGCTCCTCCTCTCCTCAGTGGCAGCTATATGGGAGGACCTTCCATTTCCTGTTGCCCCCTTCTGAAGTCCCCTGTTGTTAGCAAGAAAAGAGGCTTTCCTTTTATGGCATATAGAATGGCGGAGAAGAAAAAAGACAGCTGCCGTAAGAGCTCCTCCTCTCCTCAGTGGCAGCTATGGGAGGACCTTCCATTTCCTGTTGCCCCCTTCTGAACCCCCCTGTTGTTAGCAAGAGAAGAGACTTTCCTTTCCTTTTATGGCATAGAATCATAGGGAAGAAAAGAAGAAGGGTGCCGCTCCCGTCGAAAGTTCACTTGCAAACAAGACTCAATCTGTGAGAGGATAACAACATCACCATGCGTCCAACACCAACCGCTCCTACGCCCCCCCCTCCCCCTTCCCCCCTCCCTCTCCGTAGATGCGATTGACCTCAATTTGCCCTGGTCGCCATAACATCTTGTTTGCGCCGAGGGTCACCACCCTGTTATTTTGAGACACAGAATCACAGAATTTTGTGGCTCTTCTAAGCCACCTGTCTATATCAAAAGGTATCTTCAGTTGTTCTTTCACCTAGCTTGCTGACTATGATCATCCCGACGTGATCAGTTCTCATTCTAATAAGGGGTAAGGCTCGTAAGCTAATCAAAAGACCTCTTATCTTCGCGGCATGGGAGACAGCGAACTATCTGTTTGGTTTCCGTTGCTGTCGGGGGCCCTTCTGAAGCACATATCTGTGTCAATTCCAAGCCTAGACAGAACCACCGGGACGGTGAAGAGCAGCCACATGCATATGAAGATGAACGTGGGGCCCGACACAACTCGCCCGATGATGGAAGTCGAATACAGCACAATCATAACCTTAACAAACAGCCTGTAGTCGGAACCGCTTGCAGCAACCCTGAAAACCGCTTCCGTTGCTCCGATCGTATTTGCCCCGAACGCGGCAATACAATTCGCTGACTCCGCAGAGAACTCCCAATCTCGCGCTAAGTCCATTTTCAAGCTCGACGCAAAAATGCTTGAGAAGTGGTACAGAACAACTGTGGCGCATGCAAGGACAAGCAAGACATCTGCGACGAGGGAGACGACGGAGCAAAGCCGGAAAACAACGTGGTAGTACACCAGGCTCCCACAGGCAATGGCAATCACAGTTGTCATAGGCCGTCTCCAAAGAACGATGTCGGAGATCGTGCGTCCAAGATCGTTATGGTACTCCGTACTTCTCAATGGAGACGGCAATGATTCCGACGAGCTGTGCGAGAGCTCAGAGGGAGAGGACACCACTCCATGAGAGCTGCGGGAGAAGCTCTTGCGAATCGACAGTACCCGTCGAAAGCGGCTCCTTCCCCTCCTCCCGTCCTCACGCCCAATGGTCTCAATCACTACCTTTTCTGGCCATTCCTCCTCACTCTGGACTGCCTGCATGCAACTCCTCTTCGAGCTCGAGCAGCTGAGCCCCATGCTGGCCTCACCTCACAGACTTGTCCCCGTCGCACTAGTCTTCCTGCACCCCCAAGGTGCAAATGGCAAGGATCGCGACACCGTTGCCAGCAGAACTGGGAACGTGCCGCAGCGGTCAATGTAATCACGACTCCTATTACCCCAAAGCCCCCCAAACAATGCCGAAGACGCCAAACCTGTTGCAATCTAGGATTATCCCTGCTATCGCCAATTTTGACACCCTTCCCTCATACTAGACGAGCCAACCACTTCACAGGCAGTTATGCATTCGATAAGATGCAGAAGCCTGCAAGCGCGAACAGTGTAGAATGGGGATAACCCACTCCACAAAACTTTCAGAGCGATAAATTCCTCACAAAAAAACAAAATGCACACCATTCCATCATTTGCCACAAAGGTCCTTGACTCCGATGCACCAGACATTTGACACACGCCTTCGACACCAGCAGTGGTCTTATCACCAAAGAAGGCGTAGGAGAGGAGCGAAAACGAAGAGAGTGTGGGAGAAAACGAGAGTGCAACCACAACGCTCGAAGAGGAGGACAATTACCACAGTTATTATCACGCCCTCGAAAGCAGAACGACATCATGTCATGCCACTCTTCTAGCTCGCAGATGCTTTCCCCTGCTGTACCACACTGTACCAGCACTCTCTAGTCACAAAATGCAAAGGGCATAAAGTTTGCCCTTTGCTCGCTAAATCGTGCTGTCTTTGCTAGCTAATTCCACCTAGTAGTAGATGAGATCACAAATTCTCACATCCTATTCTCTTGCAGGTACTCCTAGTTTCCCCTTTGGTACTACAGACGATGTATTGGCCGATTACTAGTTCTCTCTTGTCAGATAGCCAAGAGCTAGAACTTCCGTCCAACAGCAAAGAATGCGCATTTATAGATTCCTACTCTCGTTGAGATATATGTTCCCCGTCCACTGATTGGGGCCAGCAGCGAATAGCAAAGAAATGACAATACATATAGCTACCCGCCACTGATTGGGGGCAGCAGCGAATAGCAAAGAAATGACAATACATATACCTACACGCACACCATCCACAGTTGATGGACCTACCTCACCGAGCAATCGACCAGCAAAATGCCAGCACAGAACGATCAGGAGAGGCAGGCGCAGACTCCCAGGAGAGAGGGTGAATTCGACATAACCGAGCGTGTGCCTACGCTCGACACTTGACTATCATTTACTAGGGATAGAAAACTAAATAATCCCAAGAATGATTCTGCAATCTGGCACTCATTATTATCATTCTATCTAAGATTTTTTTTCAGCTGCCCTATAATTCACCTAAGAAAAATCCAAGTGAAACAGGACTATGGCATACATGATAGATAGGGCAAAAAATGATACACAGTTTTCTAGCAAAAATTTAAAAAATCAATCTCTAAAAAAAAGCGTCCTGTCCTAACCGTATTTTCCAACCCCCCTTCTCGCAACCTATTCCGAGCCTGCTCCGAATCTGCTTTAAAAAAAATAAAAAATAAAAAAAATAAAAAAAAAAAAAAAAAAAAAAAATCTGATTCTAGCTCAACGTGGTCGTTTATTACTCTGTCCCTACCCCGTTGTTGGTTTACAGTTCTCATGTTCCAACCCTCCTCTATAAACCTGTATCAAGCCTTTTAATCCAACCTGGAGTAACCATGCGTCGACAAGGAGGGTGGACATGACTACGGTCCTACCCTGTTTCGATCTTGTTCCAATCTCCGAAAAGTCCTCATAGTGTAACTGGCCGGCTCCTAGTGAGAT